TCTTTTGAGCCACTGAATCTCTGAACAAATGCATTCAAAGTGCATTCCAGTATGTGAAGTTGTACAAAGATGTATTCTACAGAGTTGCACACAGTTTTATGGAATATTTTGTACTTAAAGGTTCAATTACCATCATCAGCTAAAAAACCAACCCAAACCAACACACACACAAACAAACCATGGGGTTTTTGTTGCTTCAAGAGGCATTGTTTCAGAGTCACTTAGGAAGGCTGCTAATGGGATCAAAGGAAACCCTTATCCTTAATCTGTATCACATATTCATGAATAAGAGAGTATGTTGATTCCCTTTTGTTACGCAGACACCAATGTTGCTGTGGTAACCACACTTACATGAAACAAACTCTACTCACCTGCACAAAGATGCCCTTGCTCTTGTATTCTGCATGGAGGCCTTGGGAGAAGAAATCGATAAAAGCCTAGAGAGAAAAGAAGGGAAACATGCAGCATGCTACACGTTAAAATGGAAACCACAGTTTGCAGGTTTTTGCAAGCATCTCTGAATCACTATTTAGAGTTCCTGTTTGCAAAGTGAAAAACCTCAGGTTTGCAAAGAAACTTTGCATATTAGAGCAATGCCACCTGAATAGCAACACTACGCTTACAAAGTGTTTTTTCGGAAGTGAGGCTCAGTCTAAACAAATAAACCCCTTTTTAATTTAGAAGGAAAAGGAACTAGTTTTGTTACATAAAGCCTAGTTAAAAGAAAATACAACTCTGTAGATTCACTACTTATGTCATCATCTTAATCTTTTTTTTAAAAAAACTGATTTAAGTGGGTTTCTCTCATGCATGGCTTTTAAAACATCATATTTAAATACTTTGTCTTCCACCTTTACACTTTTAAGAAATGCCACCCTATGGTGATACTTCTTCCTAGTCTTGAATTCCACCTCCACATATTCTCTTCCAAATTTCTGGAAGTTTTGGAAGTTATAAGACTTGAAGTTTAAAGAAAGAAGTGACAGGGCTTAAAAGGTGGATTCTAGTACCTGCCTTCAAGATGTCCTCACATCTAATACAGCCACCTCCATAACCATACAAGAATGTACTGTCCTAATAACCTAAGGCTACTCAGTAGTTCAAACCAGCACAGATCCCCCCTCCCCAAGTTCTTTTAAATCACCTTTCCACTTTTTCCTCCTGCAGATCAGTGAGACAAAATATGAGGTTCTGCTACAGTTTCTTGTTTTAGTGAAACAATACAGACAAGTAGGATGAATGGAGTACCTTCAACTGAAGGAACTAAGCTATCTTATCCATGCTTGAAGCTAAAATAAATACTAAATACATTAATTCAAGTATTTAAGCAGCAGTTGCTTCAGATTGGTTTCAAAACAGACACCAAAGCTCTAGTATTGCCCCTGCCTTACAGCCTTCCTTTAGTCACCATGTCACCAATGGATTAATACAAGCCCTAACTGAAACCAGCACTTAAAGTTTGCAGTGCCCAGTGTTTTTTTTATCAAGGTTATCCCACTGAACTCAGCCCACACAAGCAGCAACAGACACACTCCCACACTACTGGGCTATTTCTATACATGCTCTTCTGAGCATACACAAGATCTGAAAGAAAACTGGATTTTGCTGTGTAGCAGATAGGTCCCTTTATTCTTCATCTTCAAGTTGCATGTACAAGCTAGAAGGAGGCTCATTAAACCAAAAAAGCTTATCTTCTGTCCAACTGTTTTTTCCTTCTCCCTTTCCCCCAAATGTAATGAAATTCAGTACTCAATGAGAATGAAAAGTCTGGTCTAGTAGCAATGACTCAAGTGAGCTGGCCATTCTATTTGAACAGTCAGTCACTTGCACAGACATGCCAACAGCTCAGTGCAGTCCCTGAACACAGTTGCCAAATAAACTCTGTGCAGTTATCACACATACATCAATAATATATTAAAAATAAATTTTAAGAACTGTAGTTTTAATCAAAGTGCTTTGATCATTTAAATTTCTAGCTGTTTTTACATTGCAAGAGTCCTGAAATCAGTTACTGCTCCAAATATGGAGAGACAGTATAAAAGAGACTGCCATCTCTACTGGTTGCAAAGAGCTTGCAATAAAGAGAATGTTCATGTCATGTAAGGAGAAAAAGCAACTTCCAGCATTCAAATAAGGTTTGGAGTTTCTATTCTTGAATTTATTTCAAGATAAGTTGGTTTTCTACTTCCAGACATTCAAGCCCATCAACAACCTTTAACTTAAAACAGTTTTAAGAATGTTCTCTAAGTAAACATCCCCTGAATAAGCAGAGAAGCATCACGTGCAAGAAAATTTATTATCCTTGAATATTCAGTAACAAAGCCAAGACATGGGGGGGGGAGATAAATGCATTTCTTTTCTCATTAGTATTAATGAAGGTATATAGGTAAACTTGTCAAAAAATAGGACTCTGATTTCTTTAAAAGTGTCTCATTTCATTGTAAAATAGGGAATTCTCTACTGGAAGGTTAAAGAGTAGGACTGCATCTGTTCCTGACAATTAGCCAAAACCATTGACTTAGACCTGAAGGATACTACGCTTTAAACCTTCACCCTCTATATAGATGAGGAAAAAAACCCTAGAAATTGCAGTTACAGTCTTTCTATAGCTACATTAGGGAGTCACTTTCATGCTTACTAATCTTGCTGTGGTGGAAGATGAGCAGTGCTGAGAACAGGCAGATTACTTAACCTGTAATTGAGTTTCTTAGGGGGAAGGGAAGAAATATTTGAGATTCTCATTGAAAAAAGACTAACCAAAGCAATGTAAGGCATATTATCACTAAAATCAGAAGCTCAATTCTTTCCATAAAGCTGACAGCACTGTCACAATGAAAGTGACCTTTTGTATTAAAACAAAGAACTGTGCTCTCAGGAAACACTATTTCAAAGAGCAAATTTTATCAGCTAAAACTAATTCAGGCTTTCATAATTTCTAAACTTAAAATATCCCCTCCTTTACTATGAATAAAACAGTGTGCATCGATTCCTTTCTGGAAATATGAAGATGTTACTGAGAGTCTAGAGGAAACAGGTCTGTTCTGACATGAATGACACTACTGAAAGTGTCTTCACACTGTCAAGGTTCTGCTTGGGACTCTGAAATCCTTTAAGTATTTAAGGTAACTACAAAGTGTTCCTGTGCCTGGAAAAAGCTGTAGTGCCATACTGCTTTAATACCAATGTGAATGTCCCTTGCATTTAGTTTTATCATGTATACTTCAGTTCCATACTGTGTACCCATATTCTGTTTTTACAGTGTTAACTGGAAATCTTTTAGGGGAACATTTTAGAAGCCCCTACAGAAGTCTTTGTAAAAAAAAACCAAAACATAGACTGCAGAAAGACAAAACTGTCCCAGTGACACAAAGAGAAACTACAGCAGATACATTTAACATGAAACGTAGATCTAGAGTAGTACTATGAACTGGTAAAATAAACCAAGCTATTGTGGAAGACAACTTTCACTAAAATGAGTGTTTGGCTAAGTGGGGAGCTTCTTGATGAACTAAAAATGGGCATATGAGAGACAGAAACAGGAGAAGTAACAAAAGAGAAACATAAAACATTATTGGGTACTTAAGAATAAAATCCAAGCTAGGAAAAGACTAGCAAAGGACATGAAGGGTAGCAGTAAAGGATCCCTACAAGTACACTAGTTCCAAGAGGAATTTCAGAGAAATAGGGGTCTGTTGATGAATGAGGGAGACAACCTAGAGATAAAGGATAGAAAATGGTTATTTAAGGTACTGAACACTTCTCTTGTCTTTGCACATGCCTCTGCATACACCATTTTTGGTTTGGTTTTTTTTTTTTTTTTAACAAAAGGGAAGGCAGAGGCAACAACAATTCAGGGACTACTCAGGGATGCTGAATGTATTCAAATCCATGGAGCCAACACGGATTCACTCAAGAGTGCTGAAAGAACTAGTCCATATGTACACAAGTCTGCTGTCTGCAATAACTGAAAAACTGTGGAAACTAGAGGAGGTCTCTGACAACTGGAAGAGGGCTAAGGTATCCCTCCTTGAAAAGGCAAGAATGACCCCGTCAGCTTTAACTCAGTTTGTGGAAAACTCACAGAGCCCTCCTCTTGGAATTAATTTCCAAGCACATAAAGGACAAGAAGATACATCAGAAACAGTCAATGCAGATTTACCAACAGCAAATTCCTTTCTACAATGGAGTGGACTAGTTTTGTAGATGAGGGAAATGGATTTTGAATCTATATGAACTATATGTGTGTGTGTATATATAGATATATTTTCACTTCAGTAAAGCGTTTGACACCACCTCCTGCAGCGTTCCCATTTGGAAGTCGAGCAGATATGTGCTGAAATGACAAACTGCTGGCCAGACTGAAAATTGGCTGGACCACTAGGCTCAAAGGGCCATGATTAATAGCTTGACATCTGGCTGATAACAAGCAGAGGACCCTACAGATCAATACCATGGCCCATGTTCTTCAGTATCTCCTATCAGCAACCTAGATGATGACACAGAGCACACCCTCAGCAATTTTACAGTTGACAACAATAAGATGAAGCAGCTGACACGACACAGCTTTAGTCCAGGGAGACCCTGATAAACTTGATTATTGTTAAACATCATGAGATTTCTCAACTGGCACAGAGTGAAGTGCAAATATCTGCATACAGAGTGGGATAATGCCATGCCTTAATTTTGGTTGAGTAGCAGCTCTGCTGCAAAGAACCTGGAATGGTGGCTGCCAGGGAGAAGATAAGCCAATAATCCACTCACTGCAAGAACATCAGATGACATACTGGGCTATGTTAGCAGGATGTATGGTCAGCAGATCAAGGGAAGTTCACTATTTGGTAATGACAAGGCACTGGAGCTCTACCCTTTCTTTTACTTGAACTGCTAAACTTAACACAACTAATAAAAAGGGAGGACAAACATTTGCTTCCAGCAAGCACCAGAAGAGTCCTACTTAAACATATATACATATATATTAAAGATACATATCTTCAGTAAAATTAGGGAAACAAAATTTCAAAGTCAAAATAAGAAATCCTGTGAAACTCAGTCAATGTCCTTTTTCATCCTCGCACTAAGCTTGCTTGGTACACTAGCATCTTTTTCCATGTAAAAGTAGAACCCATGATGAAATACACAAAATAGTTGTTTCCATGCCAGTAAACACTTGCACTCATTTTTCTCTAGACCTTTCAGCTTCCACTGTTGGAAAAATTTAAGTTAGGTACTCAGTACTTTTAGTTCATGAAAGCACCACTAGATGGACACCAAAACATTTAGTCCTGTAGCATTGGCTTAGGTTTGACACCTGATTTCAGTGTGGAAAAGAACACTTACCTTGGTTGCGGAATAAAGAGTCAGCAATGCAGTTGGATACATCCCAGAAGCTGAGGAGATGTTCAGGACTACCCCTTTTGATCTGAAAGGCAGCAAAGATATATTATAATGAAATAAAAGAAACATCTTTTACGTTGCAAGCCTAAAGAAAGCCTTTAGGATGCAACTGAGATTAAGATCTGTTTAAAAACCTCAAACAAATCCTAGATTTCACTTTACTAATATGATTTTAAGCACAATGTAAGTACTCAAGCATATGGTATAAATCAGGAACAACTCCAAGTTCAACACAGCAAGAGAATCAAGCTCTATACATACACACATACAGGCACACAAGGCTAAACTATGCAAAACTGATTGAGTGAATCTGGCCCAAGTCCAAAAGGCAACTTCTAAATCTCAGGCTAAGGTGGCAGAAATGGCAACACAAATCTGTTGTATAGTTTACACTTTGATAATCGCTTTCATCTTCTGTATGTTACTTCATGATGGATCTTCAAGATAGGAAGTATCTGAATCTACTGCTCAAATACAGAAATGTTTTAATATAGTATGGATGATATTCAGTGGATAACTACAGAAAAAAAGAGTTATTTTACAGCTGTATTACAGTAACACTGAAGATAGTCCACAGTAACATTTTGGTGAGCTACCACCTGCTCTTCTAAGCACTTCTAAAGGATGTGCAGCTAGGACAGAAAGTAAGACTCCTGGATTTCCCAATCCACTGACTGATTTTGAGTGTGTCTGTTTCTGAGACTAGTTTTACCTACAGAACCAGATGTATTATTTAGTGCTAGGTAGAAAGAAGAACTAGTTTTAAAAGCTTCAGGCAAATTAGGGCAAGTACGGAGTTAAAAGGTACTACCAGACAGTCTAACACAGTGAAAGACACATCTCTGGCGCTTCTTACCCCGTAGTAAATAAATTCAAGCCAGTTTACCTGAACATACTAAGCATGCCAATGTTTAGGGCAGTGAGAACATTAACACAAGTAGGCATCATGCAGCTCAACTCCTGCAGATTCACCTATGAGTTTCTCATCATATTTCTTCATCTAGGTATACTCTATGCTGCTGCTACCACAATGATTCACGTAACCATCTTAAAAATAAACAGTTGAGTTTAAGTGACCGTTAAAAATTAAAACAATTCACTCTAAGAATCGTGACAATAGATTCAAACCAACACGGCTTCTGCCACGATAAAAAGTGTGAATTGAATCTGTGATTGATTCACCTCTAGGAATAGATGGCTAACGTGACAAAAAAGAATCATTTCAGTCATTCAAGATTTCAAACACCTTTGCCAAAGTTTGCTGTATTTTTCAGGAGTTATCTGCAAGACTTGGTGAAATAAAGTAGCAACGTGAATCAAACATGTAGCATATGTAGCATGGAGAAAGAAGATCACAAATTAATCATGAATTTTCACGACAGCAAAAGGTTAACAGTGGATGCCAGAAGATTTTCTTATCAAGACAGGTGGTGCTTGTGATATTTATTCATGAGCTCAAATGAGGATTAGCAGTGAAATGAGTATTCATGCAGTTTTTAAGAGATTACCAGATTGGAGAATACTATAAAGAAATTTTTTAAGAGCTCAGATTGCTATGTGAACAGACTACAGAATGGCAAATGAAAAAAATCAATATTAACAAAACCAGCGATGCATACTAAAGAAAATAATGTGAATTAATCACAAACCTTGCAGGATTCTAAATCAACTATCCACTTCCTGGAAAACCTAAACAAAGTCAACAAGGAGTCCTCTCTTGTGCAGCAGTCACCAAAACCAGCCAGAGAGCAGGATGGTGGGAACAGGAGGGACAGATCCACCACCACTGAAATCTTGTATTACAGTCTACGGAACACTTCTATCCTTCCAAATATAGGACAGAAATATTAAGAACCCGATGATTTAAGAAAGGAGAAAAGAGGAAAAAAACCACAACACATCGATGAGGTGGAAAGATTTGTTCCAATTTAGCTATTTAAGAGACTATTAAAAGCAGCCATGATAAAAGTATACAGACTAATGAATGAGAAAGATCAAGACCTTGATTTATCCTCTCAGAATACAAAAGAATGATGAGATTTATTTAAATGAAAGGCTGAAATTTAGATCTGATAAAAGGAAGTGAGTGCTTTTTTCATATCCAGACTACGGGAGTACTTGCCATAAAACTTAACTGAGGACAAAAGCTTAACAGGATTCAAAAAAGGGTAAGCATTTTTATGGATAAACACAAGCCTCATGCTTCTGAAACAAACTGAAGCTTTAGAAGAGAGGCTGGCATTCAGGCTGTAAAGCACAGGTCTCGCAGCACCTGGCTAGACTACAGCTTTCCAGCAGGAGTAGTGACCATCCTCTTAAGTGCAGTGAATTAATGGTCTGACCCAGTGAAGAACACCCATGTGTTTTCCCTCTTGGAAACACAACAAATTAATAGCAGCCCCATGCAGAATCCCATGTATCAGGCTCTTTGAAGAGTCAATGCCACTGTGGGTTTTGTGGTTTGTGTTTTTTCTTTATAAAGAAAACAGTCCTAGCCATAAAAGCTCAAAACTTTAAACGTCCAGATAAAAGGAAACTGAGAAGCATGCCTGTAGGAGGAACACTTCTGATTACTCCAATTACAATTTTGCTTCTTAGAGGAACTGCAGAAGAAATGTTTTTAGGGAGGGATCTGAAGAACTACGCAAGCACTAGTGAAGCAAAAAGAAATTTTGGCTCCATCCAACTCAACTGTGTAGTTAATGAAAAAAAAAAAGTTGGTTAAGATGAAGAGTATCAGGTCCACACCCTCACACCTCCCCATCATTCTACCTTAAGTGGTCCAGCGCAGGGAAGGCTATATTTAGCCATCTCTCTGTTGCTGTGGCAACCAGCGCCTGCTCCAGCTGCACGCCAAGTGGAAAGAGCAAGCTTCCTCTGTAATGTAATTATGCACTTGCTACTTCCCTGGCAATAAATACCATAGTTTGATATTTGTCTAGAAACAGTCAACTGATTTTTGTTGTTGTTGTTGGGGTTTTTTGTTCCCAAAGATATCAAGCTTTGATTTTCAGTTCTATAAGCCTGCCACCTTAGACAGTAGCCTGAAAAATTTACAGAGGAACTGCTCATTTAAGTGTAATAGGAAGCTGCAGATTATAAATTGTCACTTTAAGTGTTCAGAGCGCAGGAAAGGAGCCACAGCAGAGAATCTAAACGCCATTACCAGAAGTGGCATTCATCTAATGCTGATATGTTTATTATAAATAAAAAGTAACAGACACACTAAGATGCAGTTTTGTTTTCTCCTTACAGACTTGGATGCAAAGCATGTAAAGTCTGCTCTATTTCTTTATTTGTCTTGTAATATATTGCCATAAAACCAACATTCAAATACATAAAAGCATGCACTATAGCTACCTGCAAGATGCTACAGCATGCTACCTCACATCTATCTACTCAACATGCTATCCGCCTTGAACAAGTGAGGAATAACGATGGGATTCCTAGTCTGGTTTCATTCTTAGAGCCTAGAGCCCTTTTTCCTAACCCACAGTCCCATACCAGAAATGTATGGTTGGCCCAAGGAGCTGCTGAGTACAGCTACCATTCATTCATGCCCTTGGATTCACTGGACGTCCATATCCTCCTGTGGTTACAGACTCTTAGAGGTGTTAATGGCCTGTGAGCTACGACTATGCAGGAGTTGGCAGCTGCAGACATTGCTTCTGTGCACTGTAAACCCAACTGACTTCACAAAACCAAACAAAATGAAAGCTTTTTCAAATATTTTTCCCTGGGACAGAAACCAAGGCCTTCATTCAAATGGAACAGTCATTTAAAGTGGTTCTTCACACACAGGAAAAGTTCAAGATGTATACTTTTTTCTTTAAAGCACTATTAACCTTTTCTTTCCAAGCTTCATCTTGAACATTTACCCTTGCGATTCCTGAGGTAATCATGTAGTCAGGAAAAGTGAAAAGAAACACGCATGGTGTGCTCAAGGGTAGTTAGAACCAGAACTCAGCAGGATCCTGGTTTGCTGCCTTCCATTCAAATCATCTTACCCAGGTTAACACGTAACAGAAAAACATACACAGGTTATTCTGTGAGTATACATCATTCTGTTCTGAGAAGCTGGAGACATCAATCAACTCTGCCAAGTGGATAACTACGACATTTCTTTAGATGAAGAAGAAACTGAGGGAAGAAATTGTTACAGCTTCAAAGTTCAAAAAATTGATAACAAAACAACATTAAATCCTTCAAAAGCAGAATGGCTTTGGTCACGTCGGCATCTTCAGAGGGCAGTGGTTTCACAAAAGGCAGGTCCCTTTATCTATCAATAATAGCACATGGGCAAGGAGTAACTTTTGACTTACAAACCCCGAGTAGCTACCACCACTGTACTATAATCCTCATCCTCTAGTCCAGCTTTAGTGGAAAATACACTGCCGCCCCAGAGCTCTGTCTTGGGTTGTCTTTTCTAATTCAAATCTCTTTACCTCAAATAAGCTCCTTCTTATCTCCTGATTGTTTAACTAAATAGCTAAGCTCACCATCACCCTGATGTGCTAGACGTTGACTCCCATACTAGGTCTGACAGTTTATAGCCAGGAGGAAACTTTGTTTTAGCCGGGAAACATTTGCTCTGCACTGGTGCAACACTTGAAAAATTGAATCCTGATCTGCAGTGAAGACTCCCAGGTAGTGGGATGATGCAAGAAACATAAATTTTTTTCGTAATCTTTGTCAGATTTGGAGGTTTGTCCCATATACGTGCTCCTCCTACAGTATTTATGTGGAGGCAATACCATGGTGACTGACATGCATGGTTCTACACAGCTTTCCTCAGTAATGCTGGTGTAGCTCACACCTGACCTAGGAGACACCCCAGCAAGCTGGGGTTTGCACCACAAAAGAGACAGCAAACAGCCTGGGACACTCAACATCAGCTGGAAAACATCCTGGAGGGGCTACATGGAAATTGTGCACCCTCCATTTTCACCTGGGAGATAGCTAGGAAGTCAGTACACATCTTCCACGGCGACAGTGGTGTGCATTAACTCTTATTTTAAAGAGCTGGTCTCCAATTCTAGTTTTCCAAATGATCACAGACTTTCCTCAATATACCACCTACTGTATAATGAGAACATATTCTTTGCATCCATTTTACTTACAATGACTTAGAGAAATAGCCTTAAGAAGGTTATTCCCAGGAACTGTAACCACCCCCTCAGAATAGCAGGTTGTTGAGTTAGTGCCGATGAGTCAGACGGGCTTTTTAATTCTGTTCTAAAAGGAATCACCACAACAGTGGAGAAGGGAGAGGAAAAATAAAAAGGGAATCGAGTGGAAAAGGCTTCCACCGTCTGATGATTCATGCACCATCAGCGTGACTCACCCAGCATTACTCTGCCATTAAAACATGGAGACCAGGCTGATTAGTCACAGTAATGAATTTTTCAAGAAAGGATTCTCCCCTATAAATAATGATGACTTTGTCTGGATAGTGTTAGTGTGACTCACCTTTCCAGCATGCCGGGCAGCACCAATCGTGTCATCTGCAAAAAGAAAACATTCGTGATGGCTGAGAATGCAGACACCAGACAGCCAGAGACCGAGGGAAGCCTCCCTTCCTCCCAGAAGCAGCTGCCGCCCCCTCCACCCCAACCAAGGCTCGGGGAAGCAGAGACCATACTTTGCGTAGGCAGTTTATTTTTATTCTACCTGGATAACTTGGCTCTGTCAAGTAGTGTGTGCACTGAATGTGGTGAACCCATCCAGCTAGTAGCATAAGTACAATAAGAGTAAATAAATAAAATAAAAAAAGTCTTCACCGCTCTGCAGCATCCGTGGCCTCTAAAGAACATGAAAACACCAGGCTACTACAGTACATGTATTATCTTTCTCCCCCCAAAAAAAGGCATCTGTCTTCTTTAAGACTCACTAAATTTACCACCTGTGCCAAGACTCAAGACAATGTCCGAAGTATTTTAGCTAGAGTTACTGAACTGCTGATTTCAGGTTAAAAATAAATTGTGGAGCAGCAAGAGCACTGGACAGAACTACTAAAGATAAGTTTCCTACATTATATTACCTACAGAAAACATTAAGACCTCAAAATATTTTTTTTGTTGATTACACAGATGTTTTCACACTGAAGAACCTACATGCCCATGAGGAAAGTAATCTGGCAAACCTCACTGCTCTGGAAGCTCCTGCCTTCGTTAGGACTCTGAGCAATGTATTTACAACCTGGTTAAAGGTATCTCCAGAGCAGTAATCCTAAAACAAACTTCCCAGTTGCAGACAAAGCAGCTCTGACATGGGAAACAAATCAAGCATTGAACCAAACTTTGTTGCATTTTTAATTAATGTGAAATAGTTAATTTTGCTACTACTAATTACTACCATCCTAAAATACTAAATCCAAAATTTCTGCCTTTAAGAAATAATGTCAAAGTCCAGCTTGTGCCAAATACTCCTCCAACCCTGTTAATAAATGTCATGGCACTGACACCAAAGACAGATCAGAAAAGAAATAGAAATTATCACCACTTCTCACATCTTTAAAAGGTATTGCAACAAAGTTCTTGAGGACACAGTGAGGAGGGGGTAATAAAATACTAATGGCACCAAAATGTAATGGTACTCCCACCGATACCTAATTATCTTGACAGCTTAAAATACGAAACATTTGAGTAGTATGGGAAGAAAAACACACGCACACACGCAAAAGAAATCAGCATATACAGGAGCACAAAACATCTGTAAGCACTTTTATTACAAAGAAACAAATCTTATTGTAGCCAGCTATTCATATTACTATCACCACTGCTTTAGCCCTTACATATGACTGAGTCTGGGTTTGGGGTTCTTGTTTGTTTTTATTTTTAAATTATAAACCATACCCTTTTAGGAATAAAGGAGAAAAATCACAAAGAAAACCCAAAATTTCAGGTGATTTCAGTTAACACAAAGAAAATGGTAGAGAAGGGCTGTGTTTTGTATTTTACTGGCATTTCTCACTTGGACTGGATTCTGCAATCAGCCATGCTTCATGACAGCTTTGATAAGGGACTGTACAGGTAGGAGTTGAACAGACCTTACTTTCATGAAGTCAGATGTTGACATAATTAACTTTCAGCACTGCCTCCAAAGTCAAACTAGGTATTCAGAGTTGGTAAACATTACTAAGCTAAACAGATCTGATGCAACTTCAAAAAACCCTCTAACATTATGTCTTATACATGAACTTTTTCATATACTAATGCTTCGAAAGAGGTGTAGAAAAATCTATGTTTTAATATTAAAGTATAAAGAATGATTTGGGCTAATTTTAAGACCAGTTCAAGACTTTGTGATCCCTCCCACAGATCCCTCGGCATAAAGTGGCATACTGTTTCTTGCCTCTCAGGGCAGTGTAACACTGCATATCATCTCCAGAGATTGACACACAGACGTGGACTGAAATTGCCTACCCTTAGGCAACCCGTAAATGGTCTGAAAAAACAGTACAGGATCTCCCACTGTAACACAGAGGGACCCTACGCTTGAAACTTTGTCATAAATCCACACATTCATGCTCTAAAACCTAATTGCAACCCACCAAATATGTCTAACAGCATTATTGCGAACCTGCTGGTTATTATTGATATCCAAACAAGAGCACAGAAGAACATGCTACAATAATTGTTTGACTTATATAAATTAAAAAACTATGGAGCCACCGACAGATGCAATATAATAGGTACACAGTTCAGGTAGAAATCAAGAAGTCTCTCACTACCAGCTGTGTTAAACAGTCTGTTTCTAAAGTTCAGCTGGACAGGCAATCAATATATTTTTTTTCCCTCCACAGAAAAACACTGATGGCAAAACTGGATTTCGTACTCAACATCACTTCCATTTGTTACCACTAAAACTAATATTTTGAAGGAATTTCAAAAATCTGTGAAATAGGACAAAACTGTTTTTCCTGTCTGTGTTTTTACATCTTGTGATGTGTGAGAAGAGATATATGAATATTCAATATCTTTATGTACAGAGAAAATACCATTTTTTTAAAAGAATAAAATAACAGAAGGCAGCTCTGAGTCAGTCTCACCTCACCCAGCCAAGTCCACAGTTAGACTGTTCCAGCAGTGCAAGAGCACTATTGGAAAAATGCTGGCAGAGCATTCTGCAGCCGTATTCAGGTCTGGCAAATTTATACATTGTACACACATGTAAAATATTCCCAGCATTAATTCAAATAAATCAATCTATAGCAGAAATGCAGTTTTGCCACGAATGACAATGTCCATACGTGCTTGCATGATCTTAATCCAAAATAGCCAAACTGGTTAACACTCTTGTCTTCAAGAGCTATAACCTGAAACGTGCCATTATGAGATAGGCAGTTTAACAACAAACATCTAGAATTTAATAAATAGCTCCCAGATAAAGAATCCAAATTTTAGCTAGGTCTTATTTAGAGACAGCCAGTTCTGTAATGGGGTGTGTTTCATAAATGCCAAAGCACTGCAAGTCTGAGTCTACAGGAATTAGCATGTAGGACGCCAGAGAACTCTATGGTAGTGTTTGTTTCTCTGAAGGCAATCTAAAAAAGTTAGAAGTGTCAGGAAACCTAAAGGAGAGGCTGTGAACTACCCTGAGAGCTGTCAGTTGGTGCTTACTGAACTCACTTAGGCTTCCCTCACAGCATCGCTTCTCTGAATGAATACTGCTTTCCACAGAAATACCAGCGCTGCGGTTGAAGACATGATCCCAAGACTCTGAAGGCTCAGGTCATTTCAGACAAGTAGGCAGACACTAGGCTATGTGAAAACTGCCAGCTCATCCAAAGAAAACTTCTTTTTCTTTCTCAAAGCTTGCATTAGAGCAGAGCAAGAACATGTGCGTGTGTGTGCGCGCGCACATCTGAGAAATTTGCTCGGGACAGTCTCGACATCAGAAGTTGTTAATGTTTTATATAGTCTGGCAAAGGGCTTTTGTCTTGTTTGTTTTTCAATAATTTCACATATACACATAATGCTACCACAGAGTTTGTGGTATAGTCTCTTCGGTTTGGAGGGTTGCATTATTTTTAAGTCAACTTCTTTCACACCTAGCCCTCAAGCTCCTAAGCTCCAGGATGCTCACAGCAAATGGCTAACTTAAGGTAAAGATTAAATACAGACTGTTTCACTAATCTTTTCCAGGCAGCTATCATTTCTTGATGGCCATTTACCTGCAACTGCATTTACTACATGTCTGGCAAGCACTGTTTTTGTTTTCCACTCTTCTTCACCAGACCTGTTTCCTACCCTCTAACTTTGGAAAAAGGAACACTACTTTCAGTCTAAAGAAGCAGAGATTCCTATTTGCAGATACAAAAATGCACAGCCATATGGCTAGATTTATGTTGTAAAACAGGTGCCACACTTAAAAGCTCCTATTAGAGGACTAACCAATAGTTAAAAGTTATAATCATGTATTTCCAGAGGTTTTTCTTCAGAAAAAAAATTTTTAAATCTCCCATTCCAAGTTGTAGTCTTTTCTCACTCTGATCTGTGCAATAGCTGAGGAGCAGAGCTTAGATAAAGAATAATAATTTCTAAAGTTTTGAATACATTTCAAGTGATATTCACTCAGACTGCTAAAATACACTAGGAAAAGCTGAGGTAAATATTCAAAGTCATTCTTCAGATGTTATGGGCCACACAACTGTAATACAAAGCCAGAAATCTAATGCCACAGTTGTATATTTAGAGACAAATCATTCTATGATGTTATGACTGCAAGTGACTCTTCCCACTTCCAAAAGGTATCACAATCTGTAATTAAGCCTATGCAAGTACAGCAAAGGGTGCAGCCAGAGAACTTGGACAACTTTACAGCTTTGTTATGTAGCTAAGATGCTTCCTTTCAGATCTCATTCACGAATCTGGGGTGAAACGATAACAACTCAAAGCAACATAACTTTTTAAAGATCAGCAATTCCCTGTGGTGCACCCACTCATGTACAAAACCATCATTGCTACTGTAAGGTAATTCTTAGTGCTTGGGCAGAGGATTCACACAAGTTCACAGATGCATTAGCTGTTTAACAAATAGTTAAGCAACATTGTACCTGTGAAACACTCACTCACAGACCTTACACTAAAAGAACTAAGGAACTGTACTCGTGCCCTGGTAGTTAAATCTATCGTGAAACCTATCCTCAGCATTTACTATTAAGTTTTTTTAATATGTCTCTTTTGAAACAATAATTTCTTAAATGCAACTCATACCCCAACCTGAACAAGAATGATCATATTTGTATAAACTGACAAGTGAACCTGATGAAAATTCAACAGAAAAATCCCACAGTAACCCACACAGCAAAGTCAGTAACCAGAAAGGGGCAGGGGACTGGCAAATGGAACTACAAACACAACATGCTGCAAGCCCTGTTTATGTCAGTGACTTTTCTTTGAGCAACAGTTTTAGGAAAGTTTTCCCTATTTAGAGCCACAAACTTTCAGCATCCAGCTTGCAAGGGAACACTCTCAAAACAAGCATCTTTCCCCTCCCTGCC